GTTGGGACCTCCTTGGAGAAACTGGGGCTAACGGTGCTGCCCTGCCAGAGGAGCTCCTGGAAGGTTTTCCCTGCCCTGAGAGGAGCATTGGAAGTACCGCAGTAGCCTGCGTGGACTCTGCAGTGGCTGAAAGCCTTGCTGTGCCTCAGTTTCTGTGTGCTGTAAAATGGGGAAGTGGAATTTACTGAAATATTTTCTTTTTGAAGTTCTCTTTCTGTTACCTCCTCCCTGCTGTAGTCACAATGTCTCCCTGTGCGTATTCACCGCTGCAGTTGGGATCGTTGCTGTGCAAGTCACGTTAGGGGCTCAGGCATGCAGAGCATCAGTCTGTCTGGCTGCCAGAGCTCAGTGGGGGAACAGGTAGGTTTGCCATCCTAGTTCTGTTCACCCAAAGCTCAACTGGCAGTGACCAGATCAGAATAGCTGATTTGGGTACAGCTCGTAGCAAGACAGAGCTGTCGTGAGCATCAAGCACGTGCTGTTTCTGAACCACTTCCCCGTCTTGTCCCAGCCTTCTGGCTCTGCACCGCCTTCCTAGGTTCCCTGCCCTGTCAAGTCTGTCCCTATCCCTGCCTCCTTGATATATTGCTGTTACTGTGCTCCAAAACAGCCGGGTAAGATCACCGTGTCGATTATATGTCTGTCACAGATGTGCTGGCCTTGGAGTTCATCGAATCCCAAAGTCAGCTAAACTCGCTCAGCTAGAAAAGTGCGTTGTTGTTAGCAGATACATATTCATCAGGCCGATGGTTCTCTCTAACTTTCTTCCTTTCCTGCTTAGCTTCGTTTTTGCTTATGAATTGTATTACACTTGCTTCCATTAACGGGAGATGCATTGCCTCTGTCAACCTCCGAGTAATAACCAAACCGTCCCAAAGTGTCCACAGGGCCAATATATCTGATTGCGGCACATAAAATAGACCGGTGAGTGCCATCAGCCTGCGATCCAGCAGAAGCGAGCAGCAAAACAGTACTTTGTTAGACAGCTGACCTGAAAGACTGATACTGCTGCGCTAGGCTCAAAGGAGTTTGTTTTCTGGCCTTGGTGGCAGGAGAGATGCTCTGAGTTTCCCAGGAATGATTAGGCTCTATGAGACCTCATTCTTGGTCGTACAAACTCTGCTTTAGAGCAGCCAGTGATGTATTGAATGGCGACATGGTATGAAAATCTCACTCTGCTTTTTCGGATAGATCCCAAAGTTTTTCAAGGAATCGCAGTCCCAGCAAATCGGGTGCTCAGTTTATGGTAGGCATCATCTGTCTGACAGCCCGCACAAACTCTGAGCTGTGTGCCCCTGGTAATCCGGCTGTGCACAGCCCTCGTAAGCCTGATTGCAGAACTACAGTCAAATCCTGGCATCAGTTTTCACCCTCAGTCTCGCTGGTCCTGTCCTGTCTCGTTCAAATACCTTCTCCCCTGTTTGTGTCTGGCGTGTGGAGCTCTATGGAGCAAATGGAGACTTTCCCTTGGAGTCATCTGAGCGGCCGTTCTGAAATTGGGCTCTTTTCACTCCCACTCGTTGCTGAACTCCCCTCCCTTTTACTGCACCCCTGTGTTTTGGTTTTAAGGCTCAGGATGTGCTATCCTCCCCTGCTTTATGCCCCGCTATAAGATGAAGACCTCAAGCATCACCACCACTCTCAGCATAGCAGCAGCGAGCGTTTGCGTAGCTGATGGTGCTGGTAAGGCTGGCAAGGCACCGTTTGCCGTGCGGGAACTGAACGAGGGGTCTCTGCAGCTCTCTGGGCAGAGGATCACAGCAGCTGGCAGATGAAACGGTACCGCTGGGCAGCTCATGCCATGCAGCACCCTTTAAGGAGAAGCGCAGAACGCCGGTGAGCTGAGATGTGTGTTCAGCTACAGCCATTGGGGCTTGAAGCAAATGCAAGCAGCTGCCTGGTGCATCCCCCCCCCCCTCCCCAGGGATGGTCTGCCCGGGGTGAGACCACTGAATTCAGTCTGTTAGACACACAGCGAGCAGCTGGGTGATGAGCACTGGTGAGTTGTTAGACTCTAATTAGCCAAGCCAGGGAAGTCTATCATCCGAGTGGTTTTTTTCTCAGTGGCTTGGCTTAGGCAAGCTCCAGGCATCATAGAATCATAGAATCATTGAGGTTGGAAAAGACTAAGATCATCGAGTCCAACCGTCGACCCCACACCACCACCCACTAAGTCATGTCCCTAAGTGCCTCATCTACTCGTCTTTTAAATCCCTCCAGGGATGGGGACCCCCCCCCTTCCCTGGGCAGCCTCTTCCA